TACATCTTTGTCTATCCTTTCAACATCCTCCTCCACTTTTTCTACTCTCTCTTCTGGGGTTGGCTTTCTTGATCCAGTGGTCACTGTATCAACACCCTAATTATCTTGTGAGTTCGATTTAAGTATTCGTTTTCATCGGGGGTGATTCCTCTACCCATCTTCCAACTGCTTCTATCTTTAATTATTGTTTTACCTTCGTTGTTTATCTTAGTGTCTTTGTGAAAAGCTGTTTCTACATCGTTTGCAAGGTAAACAGTTTAACCCATCTGTGTTTACGTGGAAGCTACCTTCGTCAGATTCCCTCTGATTGTCACTCATGAAACTTTCTTGGATTTGTAAATACTCCAGAACTGCCCTCAAGAATTCCTAAGAAGCGGTGCAACACCTTTTAAGCTTGGTATCCTTTATCACAACCTTCTCAATTTCTTCAACCTCCTCTAACGTTTCTGAATACTTGTTCATTATATTACAGATATCTTCTCTCCTATTGAATAATGAGTGAAGAAACACTTAAAGCAGAACCATGTCACATATCCATATATATATGTATATATAAACAGCAAGTTTGAGATGATGCCGAAGCTACCCGCGGGAATGTTGTGCGTGGCTTCTTCAACAGGTGGTAAAACAATATTGATCCAGAACTTGATGTTGAAAATCTACAGAGGATCTCTTGAAAGAATATACATCTTCTCGCCCAGTGTTCACATGGACGACACTTGGAAGGCAGTAAAGAAATACATCAGCGATGTAATGAAGGTAGACGCCGAAAAAGAACAGCTTTATTATGAGGAATACGATCCGGTGGCGTTAGAGAAGATCATAGACACTCAACATAAAGTAATTGATTTTCAGAAGCAGAATAAACAAAAGGATCTGTTTAGCATTCTGTTAGTGGTGGATGATTTCGCTGACGATCCCAAATTCGTAAGATACTAAAGCTTGTTACACGGATTGTTCACGAGAGGTCACCATAATGCCATCTCGTGCATTTTATCCCCGCAGAAGCATAATGTGTTGGCCCCTATCATTAGGTTAAATGCTAGTGCTTTATTCATCTTCAGACTCAAGAAAATGAACGAAGTCAACGCATTTTTGGAAGAGAACTCTGCATTGGTGGATAAGCACACGCTATACGAAATGTATCAAAAAGCCGTCAAGCTTGCTCCTTACTCATTCTTCTACATAAACACTAACGCTAAAGATGTTAATAATATGTTCGTCATAAGAATTCAACAACGCTTTGAAATATCAGGTTAAACTGAAGCTGCAACAGTTAAACGGCATACAAACACCTTTCCTACATTTGCTTTATTAGATCGTTTTTGACTGATTGAAGTTGTTCATCTAGCTTTGTTACGAACTTGTTCATCAAGAGAAGGCAGATATATACTAATTTAAAAAACCAGTTCAGTTACTATTTCATCCGTTCTTACTTTTAATTTTGTTAATTCACGCCAATTGCAAAAACTAAAATAAAATGCTGTTAGTTATTTTGCATGCTTCTTTGTTAGGCTAATATGTTAATATCTATGTTCCTTTCAATCTTATCGCTGAATTACTTTATCATTACAATCATACTTATTTATCTTTTTCTTTCTCCTTTGTATTACTTTTCTCGCTCTCGTTGTCACGGCTTCGCCCTGAGGGCGAACTTTTGCACACCGTCACTATCACTATCTTTGTGTTTAATTTTCTTTTTCAGTTTAGGTATTTCTCCCTTCATTGTTGTCATTTCCTTTTTCATTGATTTGACTAAGTCTGTTAATTCATCTTTCTCACTGATAAGATGCTGAACACAACCCCATAATATAACCGATGTTTTTTATATGCTAGTAGTGTCGTACCATCAACATTATGATATATCAATTTATCCCATTCAGGAGGAATGCTTGAGTGAAAAAAGTCGTCAGCCATAAATCCTGAATGACTTTTCTTTTCTTCATCTTTAGTAAAGTTATATGTCTTCGGCTTTACATATTTAACTGCTTTATAGCATTCTTTTGTGTTTGCCTCTCGGAGGTTCTCTTTCAAATTTGCATCAGATGTTTCAATTAAGGCGCTACAAGTCATAGTGCCATTATATGAACCGGTGCCTGTGCAAGTTGTATCACCATACATATCAACTCCTGCACTTGAAGCATCTAATACTGACAAGTTATTTACACCTAATCTAATTATATCACCTGCACTAGCAATATAAAACCTCACCATTTCCCCACCTGTACTATCATTTTTATTATATCAAAATGACCAAATAAATTAACACTATCGTTATTAATTTCCAGTTGTGGTGTGCTTCCAATTGCTCCAACAATAAACCTAAGTTGTCTGTCAGTGTCGCCATTCCTTGTTTCAAAATCATTATCACTACCCTTTAATACTTCTCTCATTCCTGGTGAATGTTGAGAATTTAAATCACCCCATGCATTTTCAGTCGCTTCTGCCATTGTATTACCAATACTCTGAAAGGTTTGATTATTTACAACTGGTCTATCACTTGTAATTCCGTTAGTGTCGTCTAATTGTAATGCTATTGTTTCTGTTGTCGGATCAGTTGTCCTATCAGCTTGTAATGAAAAGTTAATGTGTTGTGTTGAAACAACATTTAAAGAATTAAAAGCATCTGCCCTTTCAAATATTCTACCGTTTGCATCTACCCAAAAATTATTTACAACTGTTGTCATATTGTTGTCCTAGGCTGGGGGGTGGGTGGTGCGATACGCCTGAATAGGCAAGATTCCTCTAACTCATTCTGGGCCACGCACATGAATCTTCTTGCCACGTTTGCACATCTCAGCAGGTCAGGATGAAGAGTGCTTGCACACTGTCACCAACTGTCCGGGCTAGCCAGAAAGTCACAGCTTTGCATACTGACCTTACAAAGCCTGGGGCGAGGGTGGGTTTAGTTGCGAGGAAAAAACAAAGACATTGGAATGCCGAAGTTCTGTGTCACGCACAGCTCGACTCGCAACGACACGCCAGAAAGAGCATCGACAGAGGCCCTTCTTTCTCAGGCCAAAACCAGCGAGAAAGTCTCGTTCATGAGATCGCAGGCAGCAAGTGGGAGAATCTGAGAAAGCAAAAACCCAAGATGCCACTGCACTACGTCTTCACGCAGCATGGACCTTCCGTGAGACAGGAAACTGTACATCCTGGGGCAACAGCAAGTTTTGCACCCCGAGAGATGGGATCCCACTCCGAGTTTTTCTCTAACAGCTCGTCTTCCGCTCGAGCAAGCCTCAAAGTGCCGAAGGAAGCTACAATGTCGAAGGATTCGGGTCAAGCGGTTGCTCAGGCCACCGCGCAGACTGCTCGTCATTCGTCGTGCCGGCAGAGCTCTCCCTCCATTCCACCTCAGCCAGTTTGAGGTGGAATGGACCACTTGAGTGACGGTGCACCCTGGCGGCCTCAATGCCTGTTCGTAAGATCTCCTTGGCCTGTCGAAGAGAGGCTTGCGAAAGTCTCGGGTGCATGCATGGAGACACGCTCACGCGGACGTCTCAATTCCAGCTCGTCATCCCGAGCCAGTGATACAAATAAAGCTGTGGGCTGTCAGCGGAATGAAGAACCTGCTGTGGTCGTTGCAAAGAAGACGAAAACACTACTCTACACTAATTACTAATTGCCTGTTCCTCTGCGCATGCCTAGCACTCCCCTCCAGGGCCGATTGCATCTGCCGCTTTGCTGCAAGTCTCAGTTTCGACCCGCTACGGTCTTCAGGCACTCCACTATGTTGAGCCGGCACCAAGTTCTCCAGACCATGTCGCGCAGGTCTATTTCTTTGTTCCATGATGTACCATCAAACCGCCTGAACTCCGAGTACGAAGTGAACCCGCTCCGGTGATGGACAACTGGGGCAATTGACAGTGGTAGTGGGCTCGCACTGCGGCTACATCTCAGAAGGCTTCCTCGGACCCCCCTTTTCCCCCCCCCCCCCGCCTGGTTCGGAATGTTATGGTCTTCCGTGGTCAGCTTCGCACGGAAGACAAAAGTTACCTCCTGGCATCCGGCTGGGCTTCGCAGACACCGCCGCAGCTGCGCGGTATGCCTCGGCGATTTTGGCATTGGCTGCCTGGATTTCCAGCGATATGCGGCTTGGAAGTCGAGGGCAAAGCCTCAGCTTGTCAGCTTTCAGTCGGAATCTGCAAAAAGCAACTTCGGAATGCCTGCCCATGTGGATCAATACACCCACGAATGTCAGACCCTTGCTTCTCACGCTCCTGTGAAATCAGTTGCTCTGCGAAGGCTTTCGACTCAACCTTAGACGTTCGAAGCAACTGCCTCGTGTCGCGTCCGACCGTGAATTCGTTCAAATGGGGTTCCCCACCACTGCTGCTGAGCCCAGCTTGACTTCCTTCCCTGCACGTGCTGACTTCATGGAACCGACTGCTGCGAACAACTGAATTCCCAAATATTCCCAAGCCAGGGTGCTGCTATCCACCGCTTTCTCGCCTTGACAGCAGCAATGTAGCTTGCCCCTGACACCCCTTGTGACCCTTCCGGCGAAACATCTGAGCTCGGCTCTAGTCCCTTGGGGAGCAAGTGTTGAAGTTGCCCTGCCTCAATGTGCGGGTTGGTCTATGGCAGCATGGGAGTAGACCAAGCGCATGATGAGTTGGCCATAGTCACGTACGGCACTTGGTCCAGCACCATGGTCTTCACTTTGAGACATGACAAATGAAGGAATGGAAGCTTGCCTAAGTCTTCGCAACAATTTGCAACAAAGCATCGCGACACTGAATCCCGAGACCGGTACCGTTGCTCTCTGTCTTTCGACTCCTCTTAAGCACGGACGAATTGATCCCAAGGTGTCACGGCCGCTGCAACGTTTCGGACAAGCATTTTCGCTGCGACTCCTTGAGAGCTGTGTGACGAGAATGTGACAGGTCGAGCTCCGCTGGGCTGTCTCTGTGTTGGCTCCCCTTTCGAGACGGAGAGTGTCGAGGGTTGGGGTGGTCTTGGTGGTTTGCTGCTCTCAAGGCAGAGGCACCCGAAGTGCCGTGAGATGTCGGCTCGGGTGGCCTGTGCTGGGGAGTGCGATGATCCGGCTCCTTCTGCTTGTGGCTCCGATCTTCGTGCTTCGGGTGGCGTGCTGCATCGACTGCAGACCTGTGCCGGTTGTCTGCGTGCTCAGAGTTAGTACCATGAGCACGGAGACGATCCTTAGCAAGGACAGATAAGAGGGGTAACTCGAGTCCCGAATGCCACCAAGACTCGGAGTGCTGGGTGTGCTGCTGGACCTTCCAAGGCTCGATTCTGATGCTTTCCACATCCACTTGCAGGCTCGCCTGCGCCATGCGCGACCTGCCATGCCTCGCAACTTGCCGAGGCTACGCTGGCGCATGCAGAGCTGCATGAAGCGCACAGTTTACAGATGCAGCGAGGCCGCGACGCGTCACCAACTTCGTCTGCAACCTTGGCCCAGGAAAAGCATGGCACAGTTACGACTCACTTGTTGATGATGCGATTTCCAGATTGTGGATAGACTGCACTGGGCCTTGCTAGGTGCATAGTTGCAAGCTAGGTGCATAGTTGCACTGTTGCAGAGCAAATCCTGAGGCGTCGGCGTGCTGAGGGTGAGCTGCAGCATCCACACTGAAGACGGTCACTTCTGGCATCGGCCTGTGATCGGTAGGTTGACCATTCAACACAGGCTGGCCAGGGTTCAGTGAGTGCAGCGACTGCGGTGACTACAGCGAGCATCAGCGAGTGCGAGAGGGAGGGATAGGCAAACGACGGAGTTTCGATGTCTGCGTCGATTGGCATGACCTCCGCTCCATTACTGTACCTGCTACCCGCACTGTGGTCAACGACGCACACTGCTGACTTCTGACAACCGACGTCATCACAGATCCCCGATCAGTCGTTCTCGCAGCTCTCGTCGTGACCGAGAGGCTTGCGATATGCATACTTGAAAGTCTCGGGAACAGCTGGCGAAACCAGCACCACGCTCATTGAAAGACATGAGAATGCTGGGCAACTGGACTCATGCACGTACATAGCCTATCTCTCGCAAGCTAAGCTCTTGTGGAGCAGGTGCAGAAGGCAAAAGGCTGCAAGTGGTCTCGTCTTGAACAAGCCTAGTCCAGGAAGCCACTAACCAACTCGCAGTGCTTCGAATTGACACATGACTTTGGCTGGTGGATGCGGGCACGGTTGCAGACACGATGTTGGCACTTCACCCGGATCTCGGGCACGATTTCGAGTATGGAAGACACCAGACGCAAGAAAATCTCATGTGGTATAGACGGTATGGATACTCTAAGGAGCCACAGAGGCAGTGGATGTTCGAAGAAACGGAAGCAGCCGCCAGCCTCGACCCAGTTCTTCTCATCATGTTGGTTGACTGGCTTGGCCTCTAAACAACGGAAGCAGCAGTTTGATGCAAAAAAACCTTCCACTATTCCCGATTGCCACTCTGAGAATCAGACAACGCTCTGTCGACATTCTGCGCATGCTGCTCTACGTCGCTTGAGTCCTTAACCAGTTGAGTGGATAGTTTTCGCAAAGCATCTACACCGGATCGCACAGGACGAAGGCCTGTGTATGGCGGCTGACTTCATCAGCGATGATTACATGCACTGGTAGACATGCACAAATTCAACTCAATCTGCTCTGTTGCCTGCGACGATGCTATGTGCCTGGCGCTCGCATCACCTACAAGACCTGCTGCGGTCCTGGCACTGAACAACCATTCGATGATTCCACAAAGTCGTGCTGGCATCGCAGAATTCGGACTAATTCTGCCAGGCAGACAGGATCAGCAGGGAAAGCTGAGCATTCCGCATTGCCTCGGACCAACTGCACAAAAGCTTTGTCTTCATTCTCGCAATGCAGGTTGTCTTGATATTCGCCCCTTTAGTCTATATGTCACCATGGATCATGGAAACACAACACAGATAGCCACTTGCGCTTTAGGTGGTGCTTGGGGCTGCAGTCCGAAAACTGCTCACTCTCCATGCCTCGGACATGCAAGCTACGCCTTTAAGGGCGGTCGCAACAGTTCTCTCCCCTAACTTGTGTGTGCTGCAGCTGTGCAGAACGGAAGCTTCTCGGGCCGTCACAGGAATGCGGCACACGGAAACAGGCGGAGCCCTGGCTGCCGTGTTGTTCAAGAAAGCCCTAGAAAGTAGAGCAGCGCGTCATGAACCCCGACGCGATCACCAACTCCTCTCTCTGGCAGCTGTAAGCATCCTTCTTAAACGAGCCGGAATGACTGGGCTGTAAATGGCAAACAAAGAGCTAACGAACGAAGGGATAACCTAAGCATCGCTGGACACCCACTGCTGCAACAGCCTTCTTGGGATAGACAGTGTGATTGCAGGAGAATGGTGATGATGGCTTTAGCTTCAATGATAATAATGATGGTGATGATGCTGGTGGTGGATGATGCTGATGATTGATGCTGATGCTGCGGCTGGTACTGATGGCGATAAGGATGATGATGATGATGATGATGATGCTGATGACGACGATGACGATGACGATGAGGAAGATGAGGATGATGATGAGGATGATGATGAGGATGATGAGGCTGGGGATGATGATGTTGATGCTGATGCTGATGACAGTGCTGATGCTGATGGCGATGAGGATGAGGCGGAGGAGGATGAGGAGGATGATGATCATGATGCTGATGATGCTTCTAACGATGGCAGGCGGCAGTAGCAGTAGGAATAGACCCCAAGAAGTCGAAGCAGCACCAGGCACAGAGCAGCCGGAGCAGCAGCAGCAGCAGCAGCAGCAGCAGTGGTGTCATGAGCATCGTCGTAGTCACGATCACCCCAAACATCACCAGCATCATGATCATCATCACCACCACCCTCACACCCCCCCTCATCAGCATAAACACAATGTCACAATCTTCATCCTGACCTGCAACCTTCGTGATCATCTTTCATCTGCAATGGCATCATCATAATCAACCATCATCATCATCACCATCACCATCACCATCATCATCATCCTCATCATCATCATCATGATCATCATCATCCTCTGTAGTTGAAGTTGTCGCTTCCGTACTTCTCCTTGCTGTCAGCACCAGCCGTCATTAGATGCAGAACGTGCATTGCCGACTGGAGCTGCCAAGGCACACCTGGCTTCGCCAGTGGGATGAAGGGTGCCACTTGTGGGAAGGACCCTCTTCAGCCAAACAGCCACGGCCAAGAAAGGTTTGGGGTAGAAACCTGTTCGGTTCTCTGGATGCTTCAGCTCCGTCACTCTCGGTTCCTCGAGACGACGGAGACCAGGTCTGGCATCGAAAGCTCGTACGGCGCACACTCTTCGCACGCGCACGCGCACGTCCAGCTAGGACGATGCCGCTCTGTGCAGCTGAGGGACATTCGTTTATCGCGAAGGGAACATGCAAAACAAGTGCTCATGCAGATGACTGGTATGACGCAGAACCAGTTTGCCGGCGTTTCCCAATGCAAGCAATTGTCTGGCAGCGCCTAGCCTAAGCGGAGGAATTGCTGGTCAACCCTCGAGTGCACACTATACCAAGCCCTTGCAAGGCCATCGCGCAAGTGTGACATGCCGGCAGCATCTCATAGCGGCCCCCTGACATTCATGAGCCCCCGAAAGGTGTGGAACATGTGCCATTTGGACTCGGCTTCGCAAGCATTGCATCACTTCGCGAACGGGCTTTCACAGGAGAGGCTTGATTGAAATCGAATCAAGCGCGATGCTAGACCATCTCTTTATCATATTAACACCTAGACCTGGGGCGCTCTGAGGCGTTCCGGACTCCGGACTTGAAATTCAGAAAGCCGAGATGTGAATTCATTCAGCCTTCATGGCAACATGAGGCTGCCCAGTTGTTCTTGTAGAGGCTGAGTAAGGATTCTCGGAAACGCACGCTCCGGCGAATTGAAGCATTCCTCTGTAAAGCTTCATGCTCCGCAGTGCTCCGCAAAATGCATCTGTTTCAATCCTTGGTTTGCCCCTGTGTTTATAACAGCGCGAAGTCGCCTGTCTTAAACCGAGCTAGCCGCTAGCAATGATCGATGCAGTACCGCACAGAACTCTGCGGCATCCGGGTAGATTCACTTACAAAGCAATTGAAGCTGCAAGGCCACAAGAGTTTCCATCATGCAAGCTACTCTAACCTCGATATGTCGTCGAAAGGTGAGAAATGGTTGTCGCCACCGTCCCTCCGCCCACACCCCGCCTTCCCAAATCAATCACAGCCGCTGCAGCCCACCAGTCCATGCTCACACACCCCATGCATCCGCTTGAGCTGCTGAGAGTAGGATGTTGCATAGCGATCCCTCCTTGCGGGTATTGCCAGCTCTTCGTGGGAAGCTTGACCTACCAGCATCGCGCCATGCCGCCCGCTGCGAACCCCCGTCCTCAAGCCTCAGGCAATCACTGTTAGCAAAGGAGGCTGCGCGGTCTAGATGAAGAATGCAAAGGCTGTCCACAGAAATTGACAGCCCCAAGCTCATGCTCGCAAGGAGACACAGTATTTGTGAACCCCCGGGACATATGCACGAGCAGCACGCTGGGCCATCCACACCGAGGGGCACATGACATGACTAAGACTGTGCCACCGAAAGCACATGACCATGAGACGACTGCAACTTGAGGCCAACGGCCTGAAAGGTCTCTTGAAGCAGGGGACCTGCTAAAAGATGCAAGAGTGCAGACAAAAGCTGAGCTTGGACCAAAGATGTGCACCAACGGCAGCAACTCAGACGCCACAGGTAACACACCCAAAGCATGCAAAAGCCGCAAGCTCCCCAACTGCCGCTGCTAGAAACTTGGACCGACTGATCACACAAGGAAGATTGGGAATAGCAGCTGAATAGCCAGGCACGAACGTTTTCCCGTTTGATTCCTCTTGGTGCCACGGTGAAGCTGATGTGGAAGCATCTGCTGCTGCGGCCAGGAGAAAGCAGCAAGATTAGAGCTAGCTTAGCCAGCCTGCCAAAAAGCCCGCGAAGGCCTCGCTTGCATATTACACCTCTGTCACCAAGAAGGGCACAACACCACAACTACATGACTACATTTGTTCCGCTCCCATCTGACTGGTGCTGTCGTATGTGGCCTCAAGGTAACCGAGCGTCTCATCCTACAGATCCAAGAGATGTTCTGACCCCTCTCACTGAGGCTCGTAGTAGAGGTGGACCTCACATGTGCTCCATTGGGCATGAGAAAAGTAGGCACGCGAGTTTATGCTACCAGTATGAGACTCGTGCTTGCTGGACCCAGCTGCAGCACGTTGCTGGCACAAACTCAAACGACAAGCCCGTCGTTGCCTCGTAGGTGAAGTCAATGAGGCCGTTGTCCTTCA